TAATGTACAAGGTTTTGCTTGTATCCCTCACACCAATTTGAGTTTCAGTCTCTGGAAATTGCAAGCAGTGAGAGAAACCACTTACTGGAGGTCCAGGAAGTCCAGGTTGGCCTTGTGGTCCTCGTGGCCCAGGCTCTCCCTACAGAAATGTTTGGGGTTTTTTTAAAACAGTGTTAAAATATCTGTATGAAATAGTACATGGCCACATTATTCATGTTGTCTATCTGTGCAGGACCCACACCACCCCTTTCCTCATAGGTCTCAAAGAACCAGCGCAGAGACCAGGTGGTTTTCTCCTTCAGCTACTTGAATTATCAGCACACATGAAACTGTACAGACTGATCCACCCACACAGGCATTTATTCATAACTGGCTCTTTGTTTTTCAAAGGTTATAACTCTTCTGAAGACACTGGGTATTCCTGGATATTCTGCTACAACACTGTGGGTTGGGGTTTGGTAGTGGAGAAAATCCTTGCGGAAACAGCTTCCATAGGCATTTCCCCTGAGCCATCACAGCTGTGAAGGGCTTTAAAGTATCATCTATATGACAGATAACACTACATTAAATAACAGTTCAATAGAAAATATGCACCTACCAGCACAAAATCAAAATTTAAATATACTTTACTTATATGTAGGACTAACAGATTGAAGCAACAGATCTCTCCCCTGTTTGAGTGACTAGGATCAGAGACAAACTCAGCATAAAACCCAAATGCAGTGTAACTTTCCTATTAACACTTCCTTGGACTTAAAGAATTACATAGCTGACACTCCAATTTATACTTCTATACTATATATACTGCAATCTAGACTTCTCAGGTTCACCACACTTGCAAAGGGCATTGCTCTTTTTTCTTGCTCATTTATTTTCTCCACTGTAAATAGGAAAACTTTTTTCTTGCTGGCCTACCAAGGCTTCTATCCACCTTAATTTTGAAGCACAGTTTTAAAGCAAAATCTAATCTAACAAGCAACTGAACTACATAAAAGCACCCTTGCAATGGAAGTATAAATATGGAATGTCTCTTACTTGCTCTCCTTTTAGGCCCTCAGTATGCACCTGCAATGAAAATGCAGAGTCATAAAGAAGAAAAAGAGAAAAGAGAACACAGGAGGTGCCCAGAGTATGGTGGTCCCCTACAAGGTAATTATCCCCCCTTGCCATTCCCTCAAGATACCTGCTGATTGCTCCTCAAATCCTGCTGCAAGCTGGGAGATGCTTTCTATTTAAACAGCTCAGACTGAGACAAGGTTTGCTCACTTAGATACCTCTGAAGGGATTTGTGTGGCTGTATAAACAGTAAGAATTCACTCCATTATCTCTCCATTTTAAATAAGTTGGTAAATTCCCCAGCTTTTGTCTTATTTAAAATGACACAACTGTACTGAGTGCATAAGGCATCCCATAAACAGCAGGCTGACTTGGGGCATGTACACAGTTCAGACCTTCCTTTGGCTCCTTGATGCCTCCACCGTGGCTATGACTGACACCTGGCAGACTTCTCAGTCTTGTTTCCACCCACATCCTGGAAACCTTGGCTCCTTTTCAGGTGTTATGTGTATCTTTCAAAGTCTCTCAGCAACTGCTGTCACATCACTAATGTCACATTTAAGCAGGACAGTAAAAGGCTGAGACCCAAAGAGGTTTCCTTCAGAGCTCTCTCTGTCTCCCTCCTTTGCTTTCTACCATGTTATGAGTAAGGAAATTGCTTTCTGCCTTTCTCATGAGGACCATGGAGCTTCTCATTCTTGTCTTTAACACCCAGTCCTTCTTTAGCACAGGGCTACAGTTGCTGGTCTGTGTGGACCTTTCATGCTTTCCACCCATAGATCAAGAGTGCTGTTTCCTAATTTTAATCCTAACTTAAAAAAAATTGGTTGGGTTTGTGTGGCCAGGTTTTAGTAGTGGTTAGGGCTACAGGGGTGGCTTCTGTGAGTAGTTACTACAAGCTTCCTCCCTATGTCTGACAGCCAATGCCACCCAGCTCCAAGATGGACCCACAGCTGTCCTAGGCAAAGGCCACCAGCAGTGGTGGTAGCACCTCTGTCGTAACATATTTAAGAAGGGGAAAACAGCAGCTGGGAGAGAGGAGTGAGAATATGTGAGTGAAACAACTCTGCAGGCACCAAGGTCAGTGAAGAATGAGGGGGAGGACGTGCTCTAGGTTCCAGAGCAGAGATTCCCCTGCAGCCCAGGGAGGTCCATGGTGGAGCAGATCTCCACCTGCAGCCTGTGGATAACCCCACACTGGAGCAGTCTGTGAAGAACTGTAACCTGCTGGAAGGACCCAGGTTCTCAGAGGATTGTCTCACATGGGAGAGACCCCACACTGCAGCAGGGGAAGTGTGTGAAGAAGAAGGAGCTGCAGAGACAACGTGTGATGAACTGACTGCAACCCCCATTCCCTGTTCCCCTGCTCTACAGCAGGAGGAGATAGAGAAAAGGGAGTGAAGGTGAGCCTGAGAAGAAGTGAGGGGTGGGGTGAAGGTCTGTTAATATTTGGGTTTCTTTCTCATTATCCTACTCTGATTTTGATTGCTAAAAAATTAATTTCCCTAAGTTGAGTCTGTTTTGCCCACGATGTCACTTGTGATCACCCTGTCCTTATATTGAGTCATGAGCCTTTTGTAATGCTTTTCTCCCCCTGTCCAGTTGATGGGAGGAGTGATAGAGCAGCTTTGATGGGCACCTGGTGTCCAGCCAGAGTCAACCCACCAGAGAAAGTAAAGGCAATACTTCCCAACTGCTTTGTTACTGGCCCCTGCAAAATTCAATTGTAGATCTCTCCTCTGAGTCCTTCACAGGAAATCTTTCTCCATACACTTGGAGATGACCTCTTCATACAGACAATACTAATACTCAAGTATTGCTGAAGGCAGAGGGCATGTGAATTTAGAGCCATAGGAAGGGTCATTTTCCCTGTCCTGTCTTCTCTGCTTTTTTATCGCTGTTTTCCTAATTTCACTATATAAGCTCCTAGTTCTCTCATATTCCACCAGGACTTTTTCAGACATAATACAAGGAAAGATCATTCACCGTGTCAGAAAATCCCTTTTTCTTCTCCCTTCCCAACTCCCACACCCAGCCCATGACAAAGGCACTCAGCAATTCAGCTCACTCTTGAACTTTCACTTGCTTTTATAACTTTCATGGGCTCTGCTTTCTAAAGGCCACTAGACATCAACTCAACAACTGTCCTGGAAACCTCACAGTCCTGAGGCAACACTTTAATTCCCTCTTCAAGTCCTAATCTTCATATTTCAACCTCCCCCCCGATTGTGGCAGTGCATCTCCTTCTTGGAACCCATCACTTGCCATCTTCAAAAATCTTTGCTGCTTTAAACTTCACTTTTTTTAAAACAACCAACCAACCAACATTTAAGAACATCTCTCATTTGGTGAAGCTCTCCCACTCCCATCTTCTACTTTCTCTTCTCGTGCAACAATGCCTACAACATTTGAGAAAGCTAAAAAAAAAATTCTTACTAAAGAGCCAGGCAATCCTGGAAGTCCTGGTTCACCCTGCAGGGAAACATAAGAAATGTAACATAACACAGAACACAACATAACCCAATACACAAAACATAAGCAAACCTCAGAGTGTGTTTTCCAACAGCTGTTGTAGGTTCTTCTTTTCAATACCAGCCTGTATTTAATAGATATGAACATGCAAACCCAATTAACTGTTTTCCCTGCAGTGGAATTCATGCAGGAACTGGCTGTGTACTGTGACGTTATACATTGATTTTAATGACAAATACTGACTTAAAATGAATGGCTGCACATTAACATGAAATTTGAGCTTAAAAAAATCTTCAAATTCCTGTACACATACCACACAAAAAACCCCAACTGATTGATGCTCAGATCCCTAACGGAGTCTGCAGGATGGTTATTTAGGGGGCAAAATCCTTTTGTTTGCTAAGGAGCAAAAAATCTTTGTAAAAAGATAAAGGAGTGAGAAATGGGCCCATTTTCCCCAACTCATTTTATAGAACAGCTTCAGGGTATAAAGTGCTTGCAGAACACTGAGATGCACACCCTCCTCAAGTGACTTAGGGCCATCTAGGCTATCAGTTTTTTCCAGCACTTTTTTTTTTTTCCCTAGCAATGTCCACTATTGATTAGGCTTTTTTAAGTTTCCAGAAAGTATCTCCTTTATTTTAGGTACAGAGCAAGGCAAAAATGATCCTACAGCTTCCTTTCACACTCTATTTATTCCTTACTTACGTAGGTCTCTGAATGACCCAACATAACTTTCATGCTATTTCCTCTCAAGGCAAGTTTCATTATTATTTGTCATTTATTCTAAAGAGAGTTCATCCTATGGCAGAAGGAGACACACTGAAAGTAATGGAGCAAGGAGATAAATATCTTCTGGAAGCAGCAAATGCAGACACTTCAGAGATACAGATGAAGTGTTATGAACTCAAGACTGCTCTCTACTGCACACATGCTGGAGCACAAAGACCTTGTTGCTGATCAGCACAGTGGATGTGCCCTGCTTATAGATGCCTCTGAACCCCCCTACAGCTGTTACATCTGAGTGAGAAAGTCATGGGATATAACTATTTCGTAGGTAGGAGGGCTGGCCTTGTTTGATTGGCACTTTCTGTGTCAATTCTACATCTCCTGGGTCAGAAACCCAGCATCTGCAAAAATATATTGACATTTCTGCTCGCTTGTCTTAGGTGAGGAAGATTTCCTGAGCCAAACTACTCTCTACTTCCTTCTACTCCCACTATGAGAGTTAAACCAAGAGTAGAGGAGCTATAAACAGACAGGATTTAACACTCACTTATACCCATTTCAGACTGAAGCAGCATCTGAAAAGTGAAACATTTACATGCATATAAGCTTCACTTATACACAACTGAGATTAATATTAAGCCAACAGTCCTGATATTCCAATTTTTTTCACATGTATTAATTACTCCTTGGAGGAATTAATAGATGTGTGTCAAACCCCCTTCATGCATCCTCTTCCAACTCACCTTTTGTCCTTTCATCCCACTGGCACCTGGAGGGCCCGGGCTACCAGCAGGGCCCTACAAACAGGTAAAAGGGAGAGAACAATGTTTGGTTTAGGTTCTGCAATTCTCAAATTGCAATTCCCCTTAATATATAGGATAAACACAAGGTTGCAGGTTTGGGTATTGGCAGCACAGTTATGTCCTGTTGTACTGGATCTAATGCAACACACGAGGCTGGTTTGGCTCTTTGGCTTTCCCTGAGAGGAAGGGGACTAAGAATGAAGATGCCACAGCAGCCACGTTAACAGCAGTCCAGTTTCAGCTGGTTCAGAAGGATTGCAGATCAGGGAGCACATCAGTGTCTAGCAGAAAACTCAGGAAAAAATTCAGGCATGAAGATGTGTCCTCTGCTAGGTGTCTAGACATGAAAAAGGCAAAAAGAAACCTTCAGAAAAATCCAACTTCTGTAATAGGGTGTCACTGGGAGAAATTGTTCCTTAGAAGTAGTAAACAATCAGCAGCCACCTTCACATCCCTCTGCAATTACTCACTTCAGCCACATTTGCTGCAAATATAAACCAGTCCTGTAAGCAGTGTAATGGGCATAGAGAACATAGTTCATTTTGATTCCAGGGCTGAAAACATTTCCGTCTTATAAGGATAGTGATAAACACTAACTAGACAAATACTTCTTGGCATAGGGTAAACTGTGGCTGAGGAACAGAGTGGAGAGAAAGCAATGATGAACTGTCAAATCCCCTGTGGAGAAGCAGAAAAAAATTCAGTGCAATAATCTCTGTCACCTCATAGGGGGGGAAGATGCAGATCTAACAAAGATTAAGGCTGCTAATGAAACTATAATTTGCCATCTAAATATGAAAATATGTGTCTGACATGGAAACAAAAATACTTCCCAACAAAGTCAAGTTGAAACTCTGGCTGCTAAGAGAGCAAGAGTGAGGCACCAGGGCAGTATGTGGCTGCTGGGCTTGTAAAGCATCTTCAGCTCATCCCCCAGCAGCTGCCTTGCCTGTGAGCAGCAGGATTAACCACCTGAAGATGAGCAAACCTGAGGATTTGACTTGCAGCTCCTTCACCTCTACAAATGCAAAAACTTGCCTCCAGATGATCCTTTCCAGAGAGGCAAACAGCAAGGGCTAGAGAACAGGATACAGATGCAGTAGCCTAGTGGCTTCAAGCTCCAGGGTGGCAGTGATTAGCTGCATAACTCTTGGCACTTTTTTGCCTCTGCTTCTCACCCTGTCCTTTGCTATTTAGACCAGAAGATCATTGGGAGTAAAGGATGCATCTCATTAGGTGTCATATCCTGAGTAATGAAAACAGTCTTGTGGGATCTACAGATAGTTTTAGACAAAACATTATCTGTCTAATCAGCAAAAATGTGCTGATCTTTTAGACCATTTTCTGGTTTCATCTTGTCTTAAAAATGTAATTGTTCCCAGGTTTTCTTATTGAAAACAAACCAAATATATTAAACCCAGGTCTCTCTCTTTTCATGTTGTGAGAGGGAAAAAAGAGTTTAAAAACTCAGGCTTAAACAACTGAGATTTTAGATGTGCTTCCTTATGTCTTTAATGAACATTAAGACAAATATCTAACCTATCATGTTTAAAGGACTAGTATTTCCTTCAAGATAATATTTCACTAAAATTTAATTCTAAAAGGAAACAAATGAAAAGAGAAAACTGAGCCAACAAAGATCCTTGGAATAAGGAGCACAAATACTGCTGATGCAGTGGGGTCCTGCCATGACTCAGCAGCCACCCAGGAAAAGCCTCAGGTTTAGAGTCAGTTTCCACTGGTTCCAAGGAAAAGGCCCCAGTCACCAAGTGTTTTCCACGTACCTGCTTCCCCTCCACACCTGGCTTTCCAGGGAACCCATCTAGGCCTCGTTCTCCCTGGAGAAAGAAGAGAAAAAAACACTCCAACTCAAATCTGTGGTCTTCAATTCACCGTTCTGCAAGAGATGTCCATGTTACATACTCCAAGACTAAGGCATAAGGAGAGGAATTCCAGCCAGACCAACAGAGAAGGTGGCTCAAGTCCCCACACCTGTACTAAGAAAAGCTGCTGGGAGCCCCCAGCCAGTAACAAAAAGGTGAACCACGCACAGTCAATAGGAAACTTTTATCCTCTCTGACTTTGCTAACTGTTGGCATGTGTCTACCCAGAAAATTTAGCACCAATATCTGGGATGTGACTTCAGAGACTAGAAGCAGTTGTGTGCCAGCTTTCCATCCTTCCTCTGTCTGCTGCAGTGGGTTCATATAAACTGGACAAAGTGCACCAGGAGAACATCAACCCAGAACAGCTCTTACAAAAATAATTAATCCACTATCCAGCAACAGCTCATTTTTACCCAGATAAGAAAAATCTTTCTTTTTTCACCTTTGCTTTCTGTAACCTGGGAAAACAATTAATCTATTCTTACATGTCGTCAGAGCTGGGCAGGCCACAAAGTTCCCAGGCAATCTATTGCACTACTTTTTATTTAAAACTGAATAAATGGGGTTTTTTTTGCCTGTACTTTAACCTGTATTTTACTTACTACAATTTCAGACTACTATGTCCTTCCCTAACCCCCCACAGAGAACAGACTGTTCGTTTCACATTTATAATGGCCTTTCATGTATTTGAAGACTTACAAAACACCCCCTTAAAACTCCTCTACACTAAACCACCTCAGTACTCTAAACCTTTCTGCATGAACATGTTTTCCAGACTTCTGATGAGTTTTGTTGCTGTCATATGTGCACTGTCCAACTTTTCTGTGTGTTCACAGTAGCTAGATTCCCAAAGCTGGATGCAGCCCAGGCTAACTTTAAGCAGAAAGATTATTTCATGTTTTACAGAGTATTCTTCTGTTTAAGCCCCAGAATAATGTTTACCTTACCCCAAGCCCCCTTCTGCAGGACAGGTCCTTAATCAGCTGTTCCCTCTCTGTAACAGGGTGCAGTTTGTTGTCCTACATGTATGAAGAATCCTGCAGCTGCACCTTCTCAATGTCATCTCCTGCTTTGGGGGATTTTGTTTTCAAGATAATTTTGAATTCTGCCCCTGATCTCCACCATGCATCCACATCTAAACCGAACATTTTCCATATTGTATAATCCAGGTCCTTGATAGGGATGATGATGAGATCAATGACATAGTCCTACTGAACATCATTTTTTTCTTACAGATTGTGGCCCTTGCTCAGTCCAGACTCTTCAGTTTAAAACTCTGAAACACGGACTTCCTCTGATGGTGCAAATGCTTAAACCTCTGTAAAACACAACACTAGGGCAGATGGCTGGACTTGATGATCTTCAAGGTCTTTTCCAACCTGGATGATTCTATGATTCTACTTGGACCTGCACAAAGAGCTGAATACAAACACTGCTACTGTTAATATAAATGGGTACATAAAAACAAAGTCTGCAAGTATAAGGAGTGACAGCAAAATAGCAGTTTTATTCCTTTTTTTGTTGGTTTTTTTTGTGGTTTTTTTTTAGTGTTTCAAACATTTTAATTGTGATTATTACCCCACAGGATCCCTGTTAGACCTCTGTTATTATCTGCCAACCCAGACTTAGGACATGGGATTTAATTAGTTCCTTTTGAAAACTATGTTGATTCAGCCTGTCAGCAAAAGGACTTGCAAATCAATCTAGATATTTTTCCCCTTTAGAAAGTCAATCAATCTTGTAACCAAAATTTTCTTTCAAAATGATGCATCCAAGACATGAAATTAGAGACCTGCACCCTACAGACAGCAGCTGAAAAGCAGCATCAGACATCCAGGTATACTTGCTTTTGGGGAAATAGTTTCCACATTCATGGTTACCTTTCCACTGAGTGAACCATGAGTTCTCTAAGTTTCAGACTTGCAGTAAGCAACAGTCTGGTGGGTTGCTGACAAAATGTGCAGTGTGTTCTCAGGAGATTTTTTAACATCAATACACTGCAGCAACGACTACTTCACACATGCTGCTTTAGCTGCCAAAACAGAAAAATGTCAATGTTCTCCCTGCTAGTGATGGGGGCTGGGAAAGGCAAATACATTATTTAGATGAATGTACCCAATAAAGCTGTTTGAAAACAATCCAAACGATTGTGCTTTCAGTTATTTCTTCAGAAAAATCTGACATTATAAATATTCTTTTTCTATTCTTTAAAAAAGGCTAGAGAAAGGGTTTATTAAAAAAAAACAACAATAAAAAAACCAAACAACTAAAAAGCACAATAGTAGTTTTCTTCTCTGAATTTCACTTCAAGACTCTATTTCTTTCCTCTCTGCTCTACTGGGTTTTATGCTTCAATCAATGGAACAAAATGGTGAAGAGTTTTAGGCAACTGGGGAAAATCCCAATTCCACACAAATTTTAGTGCTGTTTTCTGACCCCTAGAAATTGTCATGATTTGTTGGAAAGGTGATCTTCCAAGACTCTCTAGGACCCTGGGAAAGACTGATGGAGAGCAAACCTACTGCACAGAGGGACCTGGCAGCAGCAGACCAGCCCTGCTGCCTCCTCACCCGAGCTCTTCTCTGATACAACAAAGATTTACTGGATGGACACATGGTTATACAGCAAAAGCAATGCCCCATGTCTTGTTTAACTGCTGTATGTGTCTAAATTAACATGCTCAGTAACAAATACATATATAAATATAATCCTTGAACGATTTGCGTTGGAAGGGACCTTAAAGATCATCTAGATCCAACCCCCTGCCATGGACAGGGACACCTCCCACCAGTCCAGGTTGCTCAGAGCGTCATCCAACCTGGCCTTGAAGACTTCCAGGGATGAGCCAGCCACAGTTTCCCTGGGCAACCTGTGCCAGTGTCTCACCACCCTCACAGGAAAGAATTTCTTCCTCATACCTAATCTAAATCTACCCTCTCTCAGCTTGAAACAATTGCCCCTTGTCCTATCACTCCATGCCCTTATAAGAAGTCCCTCTCCAGCTTTCCTGCAGCCCCTTCAGGCACTGGAAGGCTGCTATGGCTTACACAGGCAGAGAAGTGCATCATGCTAATCTCTGCAGAGTCTGTCCTGGCGAATACAGCAAACCCATCAGATGGAAAAGGACACAAGAGATCCCTCACCCTGTGCAGTGGCTCTCCTAAAATGCAAGTGTCACTGATAATACTGGATTTGGGAACCTCACCATAAAACTCCAGTATTTACCTCTGAGGCTCAGGAGATAGGAATACAGCAGCAAGATGTATTATGGGATATTTAGCCTTTTTTTTTTCCAGACTAGGGTGCAGATTCATTAGACCAACGTTCAGGGCATGGGCTACTGTTCTCATCTAATATCATAAACACTTTTCTCCTCAGGCACAAAGGAAGGCAGTTTGCGTGGGTGTCAATGTTCAAGTTACAGACTGAATAGCAGACAAGGAAATATTTGGCCAGTCAAAATTACTCCCACTGCTTTCACAGTACTACTAACTGGTAGAAGTGGAAGCAATGGCATGGGATGCTCCAAGACCAGCATTCAAGCCCAGAACAATCCCATTACAATTGCTGTAGCAGAGATTTGGCTGCTCCAGAATAAAAATAATAATAAAAAGGGAGCTTTAGTTGTGCATATCCTTTTAATGAAACAAAATCTAATTTATTTCTTCCCCACTTTAATCTTTCTCTAGCTTAGTCAGCTGCCTGCCCACACACAGCTCCAGCTTCACCTCCCATCATGGTGATGTCAGAAAGATGGATTTTCTTCCAGGAGCCAAATATTCCAGCAGATTAGACAACCTTGCCTCCAGAAAAGCAGCAGAGGCATTGGCTAGACACAAACACACTGAGCCAGTCCTGCAAAGGGCTGGGCAAAAGCACGAGGAAGACAAAGTACGATCCAGCCTTTTGCTCTGGCTGCAGCAGTGAGGAGAGAAAATATGGAATATGGTTTTGGCTACTTCATTCTAAACAGCAAAATGGACACCGGGAACAGACACCTTAACACATGGTAAAGCAAAATGCAGCATCTCACACTAAGGGTCTATTGATCATTTTTGCAAGTAGGGAAAAACTTGGTGTAAATCTTCCAAGTTTCTTCTCTGGAAGGAGATAGAGACTGAGAAGTGGGAGCAGGGCCATGTTAACACATTAATAACTCCCTCCTTTGTGCAAACACGAGTAGCCAGATATTACTAAAGACAGCTGGAACACAGGCAAAGCTGCCAGACTGGCACTGAGATATTCCTGTCTCAGGAGTAGCATGAGACATAAGCACAACAGGACATTGCTCAGGGCTGCAAATCACTTGGTGCTGGCAAGAAAGGCTCTGCTGCCTATTTTGCCTGTGTGAGAAAAGGAGTGACAGGCTGGGCTAAGAGCCTGGTGATGCCCCATCTCCAGGTGCTTGCTGGGTTGCAGGAATGGGCCAACACCCACCTCTCCTGGCAGGGGCAGCAAAATGCATTTTTGGTGGCATTTGTGGGGAGCCTTGAGCACTACCTGGCAGGTCTGCAGCAGAAGTGTGGACACGTATGAGATCTCTCTGAACATGACAAGCTAACTGAAATAATGAAAGACTTTGTGTCTGCCCAGCTCTCCTTTTAAAAGCTTATTCTGCTTATGACAGGCACTTGGCTTCTTTCTTGAACCATAAATGTGGTTCAAATCCCAGAGTGTCCTGTGCTGTGTACAACAGCTATTCCCAGACAGGAGAGAGCAGAGAACTGGGAAGCAGCACCAGTTGGTTGAAGTCTTTATTAAAAGAAACTACCTGGTACTCATTAAGCACTGAGTTTATGGTGAGGACAGACAACAGAAATGTAGGAAGCTGGATAATCTGAGCAACTGGAGTGAGGTGGGGAGATGCTGGATGCAGATGTGGTCAGCAGCAATCAGTGGTCATCCACAACTCTCAGGGGCTGCACGCAAGAGTGGACAACCCACTAGATCTCCCCAGTGGCATTGCTGCATTCCACTCCTATCTCTCCTCCATCCCTGGCTACACACAGGAAGTCCCTATATGTGTGTTCAATTGAAAGCAGAGATCTGTGAAGCCCTCCTGCACTCCTACGGGAGGTAATTTCCAAACAGCACCAGGAGGTGCAGTGCACTGAGGACACTCCATCATCAACCAACTGGTCTGGCAGCCCACCCCACCCAACAGGTAAAGGTGTAGAGCAGACTGGCTTTTCCAAGCATGCAGCAGG